AATTTCTTTCGTTGGCGGGTACAGACACACTCATTAATGCGACCCTTTCAAATATTCATGTTGACCAAATGTCACTCTTCCACATGCCCGCAGTAGTAACATCTCACATCAAGCAGCTCATGAGGAATATTCTCTAGTTGGGCGGGTGGGACAAACAAAAGTATCATCTTATCTCATGGGATAAGATTTGCATGCCTAGACACCTTAGGTTGGGAATCCACAGTCTTAAAAGAAACAACATAACCCATCATCGGCAAGTGGTGGTGGCCTCTAATGACCCAAGATAATGATAGCCACCTATGGCAACAGGTGCTTCGTCATAAGTATCGCCTTGAGCCCTCAAGCTCGCTGCCTAGATGCAAGGCCAATGGTAGATCCTCAAGATTCTAGAGATCTCTACTTTGCAATTATAGCTTCTTCAAAGCCAACATCCGATTCCACCACCGGGAGGGTAATCGAGTTAGATTCTGGTTTGACCTCAGGATAGGCCATAACCCTATGAAAGAACAATTCCCCAATATTTTCCTCCTCGCACGGAATTGCCATGCTTCAGTGGCTGAACATTTAAACAGCCAGGGCTCCTCGAGAATTTGGAAGCCCAATTTTAGGAGGCCACTAGCAGACTGTGAATTGGATGACTTCCTTGGACTGTCCTCCCTTCATCAATCTATCTTCATCCTCACCTTTGGCAAGGATAAGATCATTTGGTCTCTCACTGCCTCAGGTCTCTTTTTGGTTTCCTCCTCCTATCGCAAACTCCTTCTGCCTCCTACCTTTCCCCCTTGCACGCCCTTCCTTCGCCGCTAAGGCATGGTTCTCCTTTGTTTCCCCTAAATCCAAATCATGAATTGGATTGCTTCATCCAAAGAGCTCTAACAATGGGCCAGCTTCAAAGAAGGGCACTGCCCATCCCTACATGATGTGCACAGAGGAAGAAGAAACCAATGCATAACTTTTCATCTACTGCATCTTGGCAAGGGACCTGTGGGCAGACCTCCTCCAACTCTTCAACTGTTTATGGGTGACCCCAAGGTCTGTTCCACACCTTTTCAGCATGCTCCACCCTCTTCCCTGCCCAACGCCTAGTATTCCACTGTGGAAGGCTAGCAGCCCTACTGTGGGTGATTTGGACTGAGAGAAACCACAGGATTTTCCGATGCAAGAACTCGAAGCCTTGAAAGACTGGGTCAGAACGTTGGTCAGCTTTTGGGCCAAAAACCACAGATGTTTCAAGAACTTCTCCTATTCGGACTTCTACTTGGATTGGCAGGCCATGCAGCACTTAAGGTCCTCCCATGTTCCCCGAGTCTCCCTCTGGACGCCACCTAAACCAGGCCAATTCAAATTAAACTTTGATGGTTTGCTCTCTGGGCAGTCCAGGCCCAGCTGGCATCAGGGGTTTCATTAGAGATAACGCTGGGCACACCCTCTTTTCCTTCTCCAAACAGATCAGCCATGCTGACTCTCATGCTGAGGAGGTTCTCGCTCCTCTTGAAGGTCTCAAGAACTTTGATGCCGTATGGAGCCCAGTTTTGATCATCGAAGGGGACTCCAAAACTGCACATGTTTTTTATGCAATCTCACATTTGCAGGCCTATGCACGTCTCATGGAGGCATATCTGGCGCGAGGCCAACTAAGAAAGCCGACCCACTCATTAAAGAAGCAGCTACCCAAGTTGATGCACAAGGAACCTTTTGGCACATTTTTGAGTTCTTCGTTCCCTTTTCCATGCTCGTTTGTCAGTTTAGCTCAGTTTACTATCCCTTGGACGTAAAGCATTTTTTGACCTATCATTGTATAGTCCACCCTCTCAGCGGTTTTTTGCATAGAGCACCAGATTTGTGGATAGCCTATTTTTTGTAACTTGTACACCTTCTCTATACTTAATGCAAATGTAAACATATTCAAAAAATAAAAATAAAAAATCCTCAACTGCACTAACAAATTCAATAGCCAAGATATGAATCATGAATCTTGTATTTGTAATATCTCTCACCAAAGGTCGCGATTCCGACAAGGAATTTTTATGGAATCCATTTCCGTGAAGTCAAGATTCTTGATTCCTTATTTTAGGAATCTCGATTCCAACACTACTATGAATATCATTTCTAGTATTTATTGATTCTCGATTTTGCAATTGTTGAATCTCAATTCTACTTTAGTTGAATCTAGATTCCACATATAATGATGCTCTCTCCATCAAATTAGAAACATAAACATAGGGCCACGAACTACAAAATAAAGACTTTAGAACCTATGAGAAGCATCAAATCAGAAACTCAATTCCAAAGATATCGGAATCTCAATTCCATACCAAAGGAATCTCGATTCCATATGGGCCAATTCCAAATAGGTCAAAAAATGGAATCTCAATTCCATATATGTAAGGATCTCGATTCTATGGGGATGAATCTTGTTTCTTATAAAGTAGGAATCTCATTTCCCACAATTCCCTTTATACGGACTTCAATTCTAGAAACACTAATCTTCTAGCCAGCCGTGATTCTATGGTTCCAATTCCTAAAACGATTCAGAATGTCAACCATTTCAACAACTATGTGTAATACTAGTTTAGTGGGGTTCACTTATTTTAAAATACTAGTTTAGTCAAGTTCATAGTTTAATTAGTTCTGCCAGCTTCTCCTCTAAAGCGGTTGATGAAATAGGCTTCCATCTCTTTGCAAAAGCAAAACATAAGATGAAATACCTAGAAGGAAATTTCAACCACTTCAACCAAGTTACCTGCCCCTTTTTTTCTTTTCTTTTCTACCAAAAATATTTTTGGCCTCTTTCGTTGAAAATTGAAACTAGTTGCTCCTTCAATAATATACTCCAAGGCTTACTGGGGAGTTCCAAAGGGGCAATCCCCCTTCATTGTCCATAAATCTATGGAATGCTATTGCTAAGTACATTAAACCCCACTTAAAAAGAGTTATTTCATAGCACTGAAGACAACTTATTCCAAACTCACAATGCAGAAATCTAGGAGGCTCAGAACAAGCAAAGACAAGGACAGGAAAATTTGAGGCAAATTCCATCAGCTAGAAAACTTGTGCTATTTCTTAAAAATTGCAAAACCTATACTAGAGAAGTGGGCACCACAATATTTTGACTTCGAAAATAAGAATGATCTAGAGAATTAGAATTTCTACATGATCAGGTGTGGAACCACCTGAGATGATTAGATTACAACAAACATTGAAGATCAATAGTGTCCAAATTATAGTAGCTAGGAGCTCCCAATGTCAAGGATGTTCCCGCTCTGGAATCCGCTACAGCATTTCAAGAAAGGGATCTTCAAGGGATCTTGAAGTTTAAATTTTCACCTCAAAAACGAAGATAACAACCAAATTGATATTTTTTTTTATTTATATCCAGCAAGCAATGCAACTATACTTTTAATATAATTGCATTGCTTGCTAGCTATAAATAAATTGATCCTTACCTTAAAAAGTATATATAGTCCTAGACTATATCCTAGACTATATAACACTCTTTAAGGCTAAGAGCAAGATGCTCAAAAGGTTGGAATCGAGATCCCATTTGAGGATCTCCATCCTTAAAATATGCATTGTAAAGATGATCCTCCCAACCTTAGGGATTTCCTAGCCTTTCATGGACCCCTGTTCTCGATGCCACTTCCGTTCCCACTCCCAATCCCAACAACTATGGTCCCAATCAATTGTTGGCAAGATTTTCTTCCATCTTGACATGCACATCTCGAACGTACAAATTTAAATAATACAACTTGCGATATGGTGATGATAACATGAACCAGACCAATAAACACATCCAAAATTTTATTCATTACACATTAAAATTAATTTCAAATCCTTACACAGTTTAGTGTGTCTGCCACAAATTCTCTCCAACCTAGCAAAGCAATATTGACCCTTCGCATTGTCCTAAAGTAGTTGGATCCAAATGTAATGATTGCAAGACTAAAGAAAAACACAGACAAAGTAATAAATAATTTACAAGAAAAGTTTTCTAAAGTAAAAGTTATGACTACAAACCCGAAATCTAAGCATCTAGAATTCCATGATAAAAACATTACTTAAATTGCTACAAAGACATCAGAATCTCATTAGCAATCAACAGTCTCCCATATCTTCGCCCAAAACTTGCAGCTGGCAAAGATTCCTTGCTTTGCATGGACAAACATTTCAGTGTGTACGTGCACACATGCCCCCCACATACACATCCAAGTCCAATGGATTAAGTCGGTGTGGCCTACTTTCAGCCCCATGTAATAAGATACAAGAGATCTCAAACCAGTTCACAAAGGAATAACAGATTTATATGCAAAGGTAGAATGTATGAGGCACTAGACAATTTTCTATGACTCCAATGAAGCAAACACTGTAGTCAGTGTTTAATCCTTAGAAAATAGTTGGTATTGCGAGAACCCTAACTAGGATAGCCTGTCAAGTGCAAGGGGGGAAAGATTCTGCTCAGTCAAACTTTCCTGGAGGCCACTTGAGTACGTCCCCCAAGACGATGTATGGGAAATAAAGCAACTGAACCGCACTGTTCCTTTCCCTTGTCTCCCATAAACTCTGCCAAGAATACAAATACACTCTTCCTCAATGCACCCAATATACAACCTATCCATGTCTGTCACTTGGATTCTTTTGCGAGCAAATCGCATGAATTCTCAGAATCACTCTCCCCCCCCCCCCCCCTTCCCCGATTTGTTTCTCTCAGAAACATATCACCCCTCTAAACACTCGAGTTCAATGAAACATTCTAGTTCAATGAACATTAATGATTTCCTAACATTCTAGTTCGATGGACCTTAAAAGTTTGACAAACCACAAGAAGTTTAAGGCTCATGTCTTAAATTATTAAGATCTATTAAAAAAGGAACTAATAAAACTAAAAATCCAAACTAATTTCCTGTGTGTTTCATTTTTTGTGAAATGAATTTCAAATGTGTTCATAGTAATCGATAAGCACACCACGAAAACAATAAGCACACCACGAAAAGGAGATAAACCTTTAGTTCTACGACCAAGTAAGAAAATCCCATCTTTCCTTTGACATGTCAATGCGTTCAATATCTCCATCATCGTACAAAATCTAGCACAAAATTGGAAAAAGTAAAATTAATTAAATGTTAACTGTAGCAAATTAAATCCCTGCGGAAATAAGTAAACAAATCACTTACAGTGTGTTTCCTAGAATTTGGATCGAAGTACGTTAGTTTTCCATGATAGTATCTGCACATGGCAAAAGAGAATCAGCAAAAGCTATATGGAATGGAGATATGGAAAAATATTCAAAATATATCACTCGGACTTTTCATTGTTTACAAGTACACATGGGGGAAGTCTACTCTTCATGCAGATTTTCAATTAATGATGGCCACACGCTAGGCAGCCAATAACATGATTGTGTTGGCCCTGCCCACACATAATTTACTGATCCCATTTATTAAACACACCTAAAATATCAATTTTTCTTTTCGAAGAAATAAAATATCAACCATTCTAACTCATGATTATATGTCCTTCGATGGGCTTTTTGAAATTAAATAAAAAATGGGTTAAAAAGTAAAATAGTTCATCTCTTGTTGATAAATTCCCCAAACTGCAATATTAAAAAAATTTTGATTTACTCTTGAGAAGAGCTACATATTGCAAACCTGGAAGAAAGGGATCACAATGCTTTGCAGCACACACATTGGTAAAAATTTGACACTGTTTGACATATCAATGTGAACTAGATGGAATTCTTAAAATATATATAGCAGGCATACATGATATTATTTTGGCATAGAATATTTAATAGTGTGCAAGGACTAGGTCCTTTCTGCAAGTGTATTACTATGGTCAACTAATCCTATACAGAGAAGTGTACAAGTGGAATCAACTCATTTAAAATGATCTCAAACAATTTATGACATATAAAACAATAATAATAGAAAAATTAGTGAGACGGTACGTAGCCTTATTAAAATCCCAATGGCATGCAATAGACAGAGAGAGAAAAGAGAGCTTATGTAATACCTCCGGTCCAAGGGCCACCAAACTTTTACACGTTGACCAATACAATTTGGAATATCATTCTTTCCACAATAAGAAGGATCCTGCACTCTATCTGATATGCAGAAAACATGTGACTTAATCAATGGGGATAGGCCCAGAATATAGGATCTCCATCCTTTCCTTCTAAAACCATCCATTTATAGACGGATACAACATAAGCAAAAGAAAACCAAGCCAAAATTGAAGGATAATTACCCTACCTCTAAACCTGACTGAACCTCCACAAGGGGAACCCTTCATAAAACACAAAATTATAGTTGATCAATATCAATATAAACTCAGTATTGAAAGCAAGAAAGGTAAAAATCTGGACTACCAATGGAACAATCGTAAGATGTATTACAATTTAAGGTAATAAATGCTATGCAAGATGGGGTTCATATGCATGTTCGTGTTTAGAGTCAGGAAAATTCACATTAAGGCACTAATAATTTCCCAGCCAAATTGCGATTTGGGCCCATTTGAATTCCCATCAGCAATATGACCTCAAGGGATTTTTTATTCTCAAATTTGAATCAATTCCGAACAGCAACTAGGCTCCCAAACTGAAATTTTTTGCAAAACCACTCCAAGTTATTTTGCAAAACTCTCTCTCTCTTCTCTCTCTCTCTCTCTCTCTCTCTCTCATGCACATGCACACACACACACTCACATACCCACAACACCCCCAACTACCATAACCATTGTTGGGTTTTGTGGCCTTTAAAAGCTTAAAGAGCCTGTAAATATGATATTTTATAGTGGAATATGCACTTCAGTGGGAGTGTGTGTTAACTGACCAAGGGTTGGGTGGTTTATAGCTCTGGTCATGTCCAAAACATTTACCTTGAGCATGTGGCACTACAGAAAAGGGTCATCCCTTGTTGAGGTCGAAGAGATGCCCAAGGATAATATTTATAGGCCAAGAGAACTGTGTAGGCCAAGAGTAAAGGCCAAAGTATCAACAAACTTTTGCACACATGTATACATGACAGTTGTATTACTGAGAATTATCCCTATAGAGGGACATGTATACATGTACATAACAAAAGAGCCCTTTGCACTGTGGTGAAAAGTGTTAGACTTGCGCTTAAAGGGAGGAACTGAAATCCACATTCCAGGATCATGATCCCACAGTTTGTTGTCCAACTTTGACAGTCCAATCATAAGCAAGACTTGGGTCATGGGTCTTTGTTGGGTTGGATAAGTAAACATTAGTGGATCATGGTTCTTGGGGTAAGTGGAGTGCCCTTATTATCGTTATTTTTTACTCATTGGTACCAGCCCATTCCTAGTATATTTTATTTTGTATTAAAAATATTTTTATAATTTTTAAATACTTTTTTCATAATTTTAAAATATTATTTCTGCTAAAAAAATAAATTAAAATGGCATTTCTGATATTTTCATGACTTAAAATGACACATGTAGGACCAAGGATCCAGCCTCACGTGTATATGCAAATTTTATGTGGGTCACACGTGAACCCCCTTAGGCCTGGGAGAGGCGCCCAGACCCTCTAGACCGCTTAGGCGCTGGCGGTCCACCTTTTGCAACAATGATAATATTTCTTATTTTCTCTGTGAATTTCCAAGAACATACATCATACTAAAGGTTATAGTAGAAGTTTTTTTAAAGCTCATGGATAGTTTCTATTTGTTTTGACAGTGAAAGTGCAGATCCTAGGTTGTATCTAGGGTATTAGTTTTGATTTACAGCAGTATTTAGTGGCCCATGTCTATGGAATTTAGGTATATCGAATAAAAAAAATAAAAATTAATACTTGAGTACCATATAGCCACTTTTTTCAACCACTACCACCACCACCACCACAATCACTGTACCACCATCACCGCTGCCTTCCACAATCACTGTACCACCATCACCGCTGCCTTTCTGCTGCCTACTCAACACCACCACCACTACCGCCTATCCACCACGATCACACAACCACCACCACCACTAAACCATCACCTCCACCGTCGCCACCACCACCACCGTCACACCTCAAAATAACAATTTATAACTCAAATTATAACATTCTCAGAATTGCTTAATATGTACAGAGCTTCAACAATAGACTGAGCTAAGCAAAGTTGAAGCCAAAACACCGTCTCTAGAGGGAGGCTAGCAAAACAACTAACCTTGAGGCAAGTCTGGAAAAAGTAAAATGATTCGAAATTTGACTTACCCAACTCTTTCAACACTTTTCTGGCATATTCCAACATTTTTCAAGTTTCAAAAATTTTTGATTGGTGACCGTTTAGAGGTGAGACATAGAGTCAGCTCATCTCAAGATCAAAAATCAAGTTCCTTTTCTTCCCCTAAAGAAGAGCTCCCTCTCCTTTCTATGGAACAATGGAATCTTCATGAAAAAACAAAAAACTAGGCCGCAATTAGAAATTATAACAGAAACCTATTCTATGGCCAGCTTCCATATTAAGCCAGTAAACTTGTCTCAGAAATACCAAAATCCAAGAAATGCATTTACTTTTTTTTTTATTTTTAAATCTTTGAATGTCACCTGTGCATCGATTAGAAGGCCAGACAGTCCCTAATTAGTTTATTCAATACTTGGGTGGAATTAAAGGCACCATCATGATTGGCAGCAGATCACAACATCCTCCCAAGATTAAAAAAAGAAAAAGAAAAAAGAAAAAACGAAGGAAAAAAAAGAAAAAAGAAAACAAAGAACAAAGTTCATATTTTCCCTAAAATATTGCTACCATTAAGAAATCATTTTCATACCTTGGGTTTTGGGTTTTTTTTTTTGGGGGTCCAAGACTACCCTGGACAAATTAGAATAACCTCCCACAAGTTTCTTAATAGCCCAAGTTAAAAAACTTGTTCCCAAGTACGTAAACTTCAAACTTGATGTTTTTGTATGATCCTTTGTTGCTACGCTTCCTGAGACCTTACAAATTTCCTAAAAATTTTCCCACATATTTCTAACTTAGCATGAGCACAAGCAATTAAACCAAGACCTAGCTGTCCACCCCATCACGAATCGAACCCTACAACCTGCAATTGCAGAAAACGATAAAGGGGTGCATTGCAAAGACAAAAGCAGGTGGACAAAGATACTTGTGATTTGATGTCAAGCCATAACTCGAGAACATAAAAACGAATGTGGCAATTCAAAATGGATAAAGAAAATAGAAATAAATAATATCAGAAAGGGAATCGGGTTAGGGTCAAAGGAGAAAGCAGCTGGGTTTTCATAGCAGAGTATGCTCATGGGAGGAAGACCAAAAACAAAATCTATCCTACGCATAACGGAAATTTCAGATAAAGAACACATTTAAATTTCTCTAATAGTGACACTAAATCATCAAGTGGAAAGCAAGAAATACCCATTACCAGAGATTGATCAACAAACACAAGGGCAAAACTCGTGAAACAAAGGAATTTCAGAAACATCACCACTTCCATATGGGGGATCAGCAACATTTGCAACCCAAACATGAACAAAACTATGGCTTTTATCTCAAACACCTATATATCAATTTCACATATACTAAAGATTTTACATTGCTGCATGGTTTCCCTAAGTATAATCAATTATCAATGCTCATTGCCCATGATGACTGACCATACTGAGAGGGATTCCTCTTCATAATTAATTATTTCCTTTCCATGGGGTGCTTCAATCCTAAGATCACTCACTTCTTGGATATACTTGAATAAGCACCCACACTACCATCCTGGTGCCCATTGCAATCTGGGTTCTAGAAGATGCCCTATTTGCACCCTTTAATGGAGCACTCTTTAATAACTTAAGCTAAATGATTAAGATCACTTAAGCAAAATAATCATCTAATTGCTTTCACAAAAAAAAATAAAAAGTTGAACCTCTTACAATAGTCTTTTCACTTGGACGGCATGCTCTAAGAGTAGCTGATGACACAGCCAACTCACGTGCAACAAGTTTCATGGCAACATCTGAAGATAATTTCTGCTTGTTGGGTTTGACTCCCAACTTTCCCCGACAGCCTGAAGTGCCACAATGGCATTCTTGATCTTTACCAAACTGTACAAACCTGCCCATTTAAAAAAGTAAGGAAAAATGCATCAACCACAGCATCTATGTCCAAGCATGCTTGCACAAAGAAAACCCACAAAATAAAGTTTAAAATAACATAGGCATGATTGCTATCATGCATATCTGCATGTGAAAGAGTACATGCTATTTGCAATGCATGCATGTTCAACTTATCTTGATGCAGTATCAAGTCATGCGGCATGCCTAAACCAGGACATGATACTGTAGCAAATTGAGTATATAATCAATCAATAGACTCCCAATTTCACAAGTCATCTAGTCAAAACGAATCTCAGAAGTGCATCTTCTTCATGTAAAAGTTGGGAAAACCAGAGTGGTTTTTGGATTTTGGTTAGCATGCCCGTATAGGAGCCAAGCGACCCCTGTCATACCCAAAGAAAACTTCTCGCCAAAATCATAGACAGAGAATGTCCTAGAACTTGTAAAATTAATATCCATCAAGAATCTGAAATATAAGGAAATTATGGAATTGGAAGCATGGACCAGAAATATCTAACAAGAGACTGTATACTATATCCCCCTCACTGTGTATGGCTTATCAATAGACCATGGAAATGTACCACAGCTTAGCTTACAAAGGCAAAACAGCTCATTGCCATTGTCCATTGATAAGTAAAGATGATAGATGGTGGATCTGAATATACAACACAATGCTCAATACCTTCACATGCAACATCGGGAAAGTATACTACAGTACCGTGTTTATATCCCCCATGGATATAAACAGCTTCCCCGACCCATTAATGTCAACAACAGACCATTGTGGCTGCTTTTTTCTCCACTAAAAGTGCATCAAAGTTTTGATGGACATTGAGCAGGATAAAACCCCCCAACTGCATCCTGTTGACGTCATACAGATGAGGGACCTGTTTACATCCGTGAAGGACACAATGAAGTAGTATAGCAAAAATTCCCTTTCACATATGCATATTTTGTTAAATGTGGATACATACATATGTCTATTACATATACAAGTTAGTAAGTTACATTGATCTTTGTTTCTACAAGTTGAAAATAACAACTTTTGAAAATCATCATGGATATGCAGATATGGATGGAATGCAAGGTTTGTATTCCAATACAATGGTTATGATGCAAGATACATTTACAATAAGACAACAACTCACATTAATAATTCAAATTATCAAGAACTTTAATAACTATTATCTACTGCTATCTTTATTTTTTGAAAAATATCTACTGCTATCTTTATGTTTTTCATTACTTTCCAACTTTCTTCTTTTCCTGAATTTCTGATATATATGATATATTAAAAAGCTGTCATTTCCAAGACCTGCAATTGCATGACTGAGAGAATTGACAAACCCAATCACAAGAGAAGTCTTCTTGCCCTTCTCTGAATTTACATCAAGCCTTAATTGGCAAAGGCTGGCTCGGGTATAAGTGACTCCAAACAGGAAAAAAAAATGTTCAAACCAAATCATTGTGAGAATTCCATTTGTATGAGCATTTGCTTTGTTTCTTGATTCTTATTTGCTCTACTTTAGCCGTTTCACTTATCAAGAAAAAATTCTTACTGGTAATCATACGTCACAGCATCCCCCTTCCTTATGTTGCGAGTGGCAAATATGCCAATTCTTGTTTCACCATCACTTCTCCTACAACAAAAATTACGAACATAGTAAGAAAAAATAAGTTGGCAACTTACAAACAAACATAGAAAACATTTAGGTGAAAGTGTAGAACCATTTTTGCATTTCAGTGTTAGGCTCACAACTGTGATTTATATATCTTGACTTGTTTCCCTTGTATGTGGCATCAATCACCATATCACGACTTATTTCACATAAGTAGAAACTGGTATCCCCACGATGTTTCATTTTCCATAGCCTGTCCTCGCAAGTTTTGTCATCGATAACTGATTTAAACAGAATAAGCATCAGTGTGTGATAAATATTCACAACAACAGAGGAAGAAACTTCCCAAAGAAAAGGAAATCACCTTCTCCGACATACTCTATCACAAATTCTCCCTTTTTGAAATCCTCGTCTGCTACCAGCCCAAACCCACATTTCTCTGTCTACAGATATCATCGCAACCAAACATTCTATCAATGAACATGCACCCACTAAAATGGAGAACATCCAATGAAATTTAGATGAAAATTGTGGATCAAGCACAATAGATTGCTAAATGACTCATAATGCACAAAATTACTCAAAAAACGTAATTTGAAAGTACTAAGAACCATAATCATCTTAAAGTGACTCAAATATGTTGACTATTAACCAGAAGATGTATGCAATAGATTCAAAACAATCACTACAGATTGCAAATGTTTCAAGCAAAGCTTCAAAGTTCAAATTAACCAGAATGTAATGAATCATCGAAAAAAGAGCTATTAAAGCAAATTGTATAAAAAAAAATGAAAATTATACCAAATATGATGCTTGCTTTAACCAGATAAGTAACAAGTAACTGAACTAAATCAAAATATACAAGAATCAAAAACCTTTCGGGATATCAGTATCAACTTCATAAACATCCTACCAATAGCTTCAAAACCTGCATTCACTCCAGCTCTCGTTGGGGGTCCTGGTGGAGTCCACTCAGGACTCGCAAAGTCTTGCCAGTGTCGAGTGAGTTGGAAACATAAAATCCCAAAAATGGGGAAAATTCAGGTAAAATATGAAAAAAGTCAAAATTTAGAAAAACCTATACGAAAAAATAAAAATGACGAAAAAAGTTGATTAATTGGCATAACTTTTCGGCCAAATGGCATATTGGCATTCAAAATCTCATTAATCCGAGATTTTGCGTGTCTGCTTGTGGAATCTACGCCTTGGATTTAACAGAGAACACAAAAATAGTCTTAGGGAAGAATCTTCAGGGTGAAGCAACCTAGGGTTGCTAAAATTTTGTAAGCATTCAACTTTGGCTAAACCTAGTTTGGAGAAAAAGCAAGTCTTGCAAATTCGTTCGTGCCAAATCTAATGCTTTGAAATGATAGAGGCTGGAAACAGAGGTCTCAGGGTGAAGCTTAAGAGCAAAGTAAGCTCAAAATCCTTTCCAGTGAACTCGCTGAGTTGCCACCACAGTAATTCGAGTGATTACTGTTACATTTACCCCTAACAAGTTTGGGGCAAATTCTGGACAGCAGCCTGCCAAGTCCAAGGAAATTGGGCTCGTCCATATCACACTCCACTAAGTTTTGCACAGTAATCATACATGTATAAGCTTAGTTATGTGCTCATCATCATATTCTGATTTTCGGATAGGCAAGTGATGGGAATGGAACCCTGGACAATATTTTGCAGCATCATTGCCCTAATCATGATACAATAGCCCCATTCCCTTCATCGTTTTTCTCCAGCGTAATACTGCTATTAAGGTCACAGCCAGTATTATTTTCAACGTTACAGCAAGTATCTCGATTTGTTTTTGTGTGATGACTTTTCTGCTTAGGCCCAATATTTTTTCTTTAGAACGAACACTCTTCCCTGATAATTGTCACATCCAATAGTACAAGTCAGCTAGGTTAAACAGTCAAACCTTATACGTTGATTGCAAGCTATTGTTCTGCCAATACAAATTTGAATGCAGAAGTGCAAACATATCCGACAGTAAAGCAGTGAATAAGTAACTCATTTCGAGGGCAAACATATCCGAAAGTAAAGCAGTGAATAAGCAACTCATTTCGAAACTCAACCAATCAACTTGACTCGTCCAGTGGACAGCTATAAATGTGAATGTTTTGCAATGTCTTCCAAGTTTTTCCTTAAAATTAGGAATAAACCCGAGGCTTGGGTGTTCAGGATGGTAGAGCCAAAACATGACATCGAATCTTATATGCTGATTGCACGCTACTGTTCTGCCAATGCAAACTTGAATGCAGGAATTCAAACAATCTGACTGTAAAGCAATGAATAAGTAACTCATTTCGAAACTCAACCAATCAACTGGAAATCATCTAGTGGAAAACTATAAATGTGAATGTTTTGGGATGCCTTCCGAGTTTTTCGTTAAAGTAAGGAATGACGCGTAGGTGATCAAGGTGGTAGAGCCACAACATGATGTCCGGGGTTCCATTCCTAACTGCAATATACCCATCAACATGTCTTATAAAAAAAAAAAGAGAGTGATCAGTGCTAATTTGACAAACACAAAGTTTCTTCCAATGTGGCAGCAAAGTGGGACAGATAGGTTAAGATCTCGGTTTGATTAACATTATGCAAAATACATTTTCAAAAACTCCTTCGTCCGAAATTTGGAAATAAACCAAATGAAAACAAAAAAACATAAAATACCCTAACTTAATTGTTTAATGCAGCGAGTTGACTTGGTTTGACATAGACTGAGTAGACCACAAGGTTCGAGTTTTTTAACACTGCTGTAAACCATCAAATGAAGGTGAAAAGTTATATTCTAAAAGCTCCACTTCCCTAAGGGATCGTTTGGTTTGGCAGAAATCTCTCTCCAGGAGCGTAATTTTTGTTGAACAGGTCCATTTCCTACCTTCTTTGGTTTGTGCGGAATTTCTCTCTAGGAGACCTCCATTTTTCACGTATCTACACAAAGTGTGGGAAATCTCCAGATTTTCATGGAAAGTGGCTTCATATACAATTAGGTATGAAGCGAATTTCCTGGAAATCCCCCTCATGGAGAAAAATTTCTGATGAACCAAACGCCCCATAAGAGAACAATGTTTAAAAGCTGGATACCTGGGAAAGAGATAATAAAGTTAAGGTGCGATTAATACACATGGGTGTTCAACAATGAATAAAAAAATGGTATGGATTCTGGGTGGGTATGCTACAAAACATACTAATTCAAGATACACAATAACCACATGATTTTCAACCATCAACATTACAGTAAAAATTTCTGACAATCATGCACTTTACATGCGTTCTCCATTTCAATGATATGAAGAAACCAAAAGAATGCATGAAAGCTACAATAACCACATGATTTTCAAGATACACAATAACCACATGATTTTCAACCATCAACATTACAGTAAAAATTTCTGACAATCATGCACTTTACATGCGTTCTCCATTTCAATGATATGACGAAACCAAAAGAATGCATGAAAGCGTACCTTCACCAACTTCATCTTTTTAACGTTTCTATGTTGAAACGGTTTGTTGATGCAAGCACTTCCACAATTACAGTTTGATGAGCAAGTGGACAATAACATCCTAGAAACGTATGTACATTCATCAACAAAGGAATGCGAATTCAGAATGTAAGATTGAGTGGTATCTTTTGCAGAAATGGATAGGAATCCGTCTAGATACATCCATGCACTTGCACACACACATGCAGGCACAAGCACAGCACACACACATAGGAAGCAAAAACAAGTAATTTTCGTATGCATAGCACATCTCTAAAACGCACGAAAACGTACTAAATTTAGAAAATAAATATCCCAAATTCAACAGTTGATATTTTGTGAAGCTCAACAATGAGTCAAGACCTCAATTTATTTATCTATTTAGTGAAGACATCAATTTTAACAAAGTTTGAACAGATAGATGTTTACTCATTAATTATAACTTCATGAATAGTTACAACAAAAGCATTGCATTGATAAGAAGAACATCTGGTTGAAAATAATTACCCGCAATGGCAATTTATGCCACACACACCCAGTGATCCAGGGGAGGGGCGGCATGAACAAAAGATACCATCATCCTCAGAGCGCCTCTTCATTCTCTTCATCAAATAAACATCTTTTAAGTGTCAAGTAACACAAGAATGCAGTGTGATGAGCTAATAACTGTGGGATTATTAGGATATATTTGTGGGATAAGGATCCTATCCAAAATGCTGCCATCCATTAATTCCAGTAGTACCTTGATAAAACTGAGGCAGTGTTTTCCATATTTTTAAGAAGTGTCTTTCATTTTTCTCTACCCAAAGAATCGGTTATGTAACAACCCAATCATTTCAGAGGACCTAGAGACATGTTAATCTAACTAAAATAATAGCAGGATTTCCACCAACCTTTCTTTAACGCACGACTAACTGAATAAGGGCTGGCGAAATATATCAAAATGGAGCATAAACAATGAACATACAAAATTGGAACAGCACTAAGGTACAAATACACCATGCTCAAAACGATATAGTACAAATTAGTGAAATCTACTCATTCCTTTTCAAAAGGATACTGCGCTTTATGAAGGTATAAGGAGGCTTTCGTTTTTTTAGTAAATCAGATATTTCAAATTCATCAGAACTTTCAGGTACATGAAATACATCGTCTAACATGTTTTCCATGTCACTCTCCTGGTCTTCATTCTGAAAATCCAAAAGAAAAAAATGATGCAGGATGTGAAAACTCCATTAACTTCAATAAAAAAAAAACCTAAATAGAGGAACAAAAAAAAATGTAACAAGAATGATAAGGAAAAACCATAATGCCAGCACCACAAACATTGGAAATCTACAGCCTAAATAATCTGTTCCAGTGAAACTTAAATAGTATAATAACCATTAGCAGAATCCCTATCTATAAAATCAAAACAAGAAAAATAAATTTTACGGTTTTAAGTTATTCAAAGTGTCCAAAACAAAGAAATAAAAAATGCAAACAAATATTATATGACAAATAAGTTCTAGTCACAAATTCCAAACAAATAATGTAGCCAAAATGTATCTTCTAGCATATAAATTGCAAGAAAGAATAGAAATCAGAAGTAGGACATGTGTCATGGTACCAGCAGACAATTTAAACTAGGAGGTATGTTATAATATTCTCAACAGAACACCAAACCAAGGCAGGTCCAAGTGATCAAAACACTGTTGCTCAAGAGCCACAAGGAAGAATACAACAGATTCCACCTTAACATGAAAATAGCTTACAATTAATCCAGCAACAACGCATATTTGTTGCAGTTAAAATATTTAATAGGAGAAAAGAGTCATCAAGTTTATGATATGCCTGAAAATATCACATTACCCTCACATCCTTTTGAGCAGATTGCGTCCGGAGTACACGAATTCCCTTCAACTTCTTGGTAGCTGCCATTTTCTGATTGACCACAGATAATTTATGAGGGAAAAAACAAGTATATTGTTCCAGTCTGCAGAAAGTTTTGGAGAATGAAAACCACGACCAGCTTCAAATAAATGACACAAAAGAATACGTTGGAGAGCACAATAACACCATGGAAGGGTTCCAAGAGGGTAAATTTTGTGAACATAAAAGAAGAAAAAAATTATAAATAAAAATGTTGACATGAGAATAATCTAAAAAAGTAGGACAATCATATGGACAACCTTCTTCATATAAGTCATTGATCAAGAACTCAACCAAAAGAACATCACGTAATGCACGAGCTATTATTAGAAGTAAGCATCCCGAGCTTTTCCAACAATGTACTGCATTGTGCTGTAACAGCTCAATTGAGAAACATGTACCTGCCAATTAGAGAACAATTATGAGATTATAATTGTGCAACGCAAGTACAACATTTAGCGGAAGAGCATTTATGGGACAGAAAATTGATCACAAATAACATTCCAACACAAAAGAGATTCTTAACAAAATGTGGAAATGTTCTTTAAGCTAATAAGTGACAGAAACTTGTTCAATAAAATTTTGAGCTATGACAACCAAACCGAACTCCTGACTCAAGCATACCAATTTAGCAGTCGATTCATATGCATGAGATTTTAAATATAGAAAAGAAAGTACAAGTGACATTCTCATGTTAACAACATAGATAAACAAGCAAATAACGGGTTTCTCAATGGTTATGAGTATTCAACTATAAGAACTTAGTTCATGAATTGCCATGAATTGCCCCATAATCTCGGGCATAAATGAGCTGAAGTAAATAGTGCGGACATGATGGGGAGAACAAGAATCTCCCAGTCCAAAAACTAAGTCTTACTTATCAAAATAAAATGAAATAAAGATAAAAAGAAATTGCTCTAAAATGTACCAAAACACTAAGAAAATATAACCTGTGACAGGTTATCAGGAGCCATGAAAATGATGATGAACCTGGCGGAAAAGCTACTTCTGTCGATACCCACAAAAAAATCCAGAAGAAACCAGATCACTCTCGTAAGTTGCCCATTCCTTACAAGAAAAAGAATGAATAACATGATTTTTCTTCCCCATTCTAATCCAGAAACACATATTCCTCATCAAACAAGGTAACAATCAACAAATCAAGCAGGAATATAAAACCCAATTGCATATGAAACAAAACCTAAACGCTTGTAACAGAACAGTCAAGAAAAATAAAGCATGAAAGCAAGCAAAAATCCAATCATGAGTTAGAAAGAATAAACAAAACCTAATTTTTAGAGAGAAAGAACAGAACCAAAGAACATAAGAAATAAATACATGGTTCTAAAGAAAGAAAAAAGCGAAAAAATGAATGTAGAGAGAGAAAAAGAACCAAATCTCTGGACAGACGAAAAAAAAAACCCAATTGCTAGAGCAGGATATCCATCAAGAAAATGAAGTATGAGAGAGCAAAATAGAACCCAACAATAAGTTCAGGAGCTCAAATACCTTTATGGAGAAAGGCAATTCAAAAGGTGGATCTTTGCTCAAGAAGATGCGAGTCAGATCTAAAGCAAGCTTTCATTTGAGAGAGGGATCTGAACTTCGATAATATTCAATGCGTGCACGCTAAAATGACACAGTTACTCAATCTCTCTCTCTCACTCACTGGCTTGGAAATTCAAATCCCTTCCAAGAGCTCTCTCTCTCACTAAATTTAGAAAAATACCTTTCAAGATAATAAGAGAGAGTATAATCAGGGGTCTCTGGACGGCGTAGAAACCCTTGTGGAGAGAGAGAAAGTAGTTTTAAGTTTAGAGAGGGAGAGAGAGCGGGCGACTACTTTTTGAAGTTTAAAGATTTTTTATCGCACTTTGAGTGAAATCGGCAGTTGTGAGGGGGTTAAATTTCAAAGGCTGTGAGGGACGGATTTGGTCGGGCTATGGTTCAAGTACACGGGTGCGTGACCCGGGTTGTCAACACCAAAACTAGTATGCGCCCGGTTGTTTGGCAATCTGATTGAGAGAAGTGGGTAAAAAAATAAGAGAAAAAACCAAAAATAATATAAAGGGAAATGATCCAATGCATCAGTTGTATAGTAATATAATGCAACCACACCTCTAAAAAATCATATTTTTGGCATTTGTATAATCCCAAATTTTACACATACATTCTCTTCATCCTCATAATCAATCCTACTAAATGAAAATTCAATTTACGCTCTATATATGGTCAAAATTAGTACCTATCCAAGAATGAATCTCGACCATCCATTTGATTAATTTCAAGATCTAGGCCTAAACAAATTCAAAATCACTTTTTTCATTTTTAGCATTATTAATCTAATGATGGTAATGCTATATAAAAACTTTGGGAATAAAAAAATGCTTTTGAGGCCTATATCTAACCATCTCAATAACATGGAAGACTTATATTAATTGGGCTAGAATGAAAACTTTCTATAGCATTTTTTCAAAATTTTCTTTTTTGTGATTGTTCTTCATAATGAAAAGAGTGTACATTTAAAAATTCATGTCAAACAAATATCTCTAATATAGGTTTTGAAGGTGGTTGCATTATACCACTATACAACCGTTGCATGAAATCATTCCCCAAATATAGAAAGCCAGAGCTAGATTGGTCGATTCTATGATGGCTCGTTTGGATACCTAGATTGCACTATCTAGGATAGTCTTATCAAGGTTTTTGGGCTTTCTCCCTTGTTTAGGTAGCAATCTGTGCGCGGATTGGGCTATCTTGCGTAGGGTCTAATCTTTTTTTTGAGATAAAAAACTTAGATAGTGTTATTCCAACAGAAAAAATGTGGAATAAGGCAATCCACATAGGGTCCGTTTGGGTACCTAGAGAAGCAGGTCCTGAGGATAGGTTTATACTAGAATTGGCTTCTCCTGGAAATTGTCTTTACATGGGATAGGGTTGTCTGTTGTTTGGATAGCACCTGATATGAAACGTGGATATGCATGTCCACTGTTTGGATTGGTTGGAATAAGTGAATCTATGGAAATTATGTTACAGTTTTTATATTATTACTTTACATTTAATTTTATATTAATTAACTCCGCACATTCATTCCAAACTTCAATATTATTTCTTAACTATGATGAAATCCTTCTTTTTTTTATATGTATATTCCTTTCCAGTTTATCCTTATATATAGCTATCTTACATGCCAAATATTCAATTTATGTCAATGTTTTGGGAAATCAAGAAGTTATATACATAATGGTTTTGGCTCTAGTCTCAAGACTGGTGTCCCATTGTCTGGAACTCCCAAGAAGCCAAAGCTAAGGTGATTCTTCATAGAGGACTTTCATAGCAATCAAACTTTTTTTGTATAATCAATAAGAGAGGAGCATCCATGGCCAAAGGCAGATATATTTCGCAGACCAAAAAATTTGGTTTTGCTTCCCATGTAAAATAAGACATTGAAGATATGTAGTGGCTTCTCATGTCTTGAGTGCCTGTAGTTTTATATGTACAGTGCTGATATGATTCTTCTCTCATCTACTTCTCTATATCTCTTTTTCTTTTCTTTTTTTAAATAACCTTATGTACGATTTTTATTTTTATTTTTTTAATTATAGATCCAGAACTAAACAAGCTACTGTAATTCTACTATAGTATCCGAATGTGCATCTCATGTATTTAGTTATTTCATTAAAAATGCTTGAAATTGGCTCTTTGGATGTGTACTCTTTTTGTTTTATATCATCTGCTCTTGCAAAAAAGACATTAGTTCTCAACTGAATATCTGCAGTCATGTCAAAGGGTATGCAAACAATAGCTTCTCATTTCAATATTAAAAAGAAAAACATGGAGTTCGGATGTGGCCACCTGCAATTTGTGATGTTTCACTGACAACTATCTTTCGTTTGTACCAACTTAATGATTGTTCTCATGAAAATCATAGTAGCTGGGAAATGTTACCAAAACATGAGAGATCAGTTATGGTATTCAAATGCAAATCTATCAATTGGAAGTTAAAGACTTATTAAAAACAATGGAACTTTATGAGTTTGATAGAAGCAACGAAATGGTAGCAAATGTTGATACGTATGGCTATGAGGCCTTACATGTCTTAGCCTACATTTGTGGGAATTCAATATATCCAACGGTCATATGGTTCAACGTCCATATGAACGTAACCCCTCATTTTTCTCAAAGACCCGTTGGAGATCAAGGAACCCCTTTATTTTCTCAGAGACCTGTTGAAAAAATATAACGGTTACCCCTTCTTCTCCCTATAAAATAGGAAGCCAGAGAGAGGATGCGAACAACAAAGAAAATATGTACTCTCTCTCTCTAAAAAGTGAAGGGATAAAAAATCCGGGCTTTGCAATCACCAGTCTCACGACACCATTTCTCTGATCTCATGTTTAGTCTCTTCCATGCTTCATCAATTTTTACTATCATTGGTATCGGAGCGCGGTTGCTATAATGATCTTGGTGTTGTAATAATTTTCTCGATCTCAATTCTGTGCCTTTTCTTTGTTGTCATGTGTGCCTGAGCTGTGAGTTCTTTCCTTAATTTTTTTTTGTTTTATTTATTTATATGTTATCATCTTTTGGGAAGGTTGCCATCTTCTGTTTTAGGAAAGTAAACATGTTTTCAAACACAATAAACCTCTATTGGCATTATTGCAATGAATTTCAGTGCATACCACTGATTGTCACTAAATATCATGCATTTTGATAAGCACGTATAGTTACGTGGAACCTTAATTTGACGTTTTAGACCAACTCAGCCATCTCAACACGTGTATATCTTATTCATGTATCATCGCAACTGTTTAAAGGATTAGCATGTATAGCTTTGTTTAAGAGATTGCTTGGAATTACAAAGTGATATTGATAAAATGATGGAAGGATAGATATTTTAGATTTCATATGGTAGAATTTTGTGTCACAAAGATGTAATCGCCTCTATGAATAAAATTATCCATGCAGTTGAATTTTTTTTTTCTTCGATAAATATCAGTAGCTACAAATTGTGCTATTCTATTGCCTTATATATTGCCGCTATATATAAAATAATCCGTGCGGCTGAAATTTTTTTTTTGCACTAAATATCAGTGGCTACGAATTTTGCTATTTTGTTTCCCTATATATTGTTGATATTTCTATTAAAAAAAGAAGAAGAAGGAATGGGGCTGAATACATATTTTTGCTGCCTTATATGTTGTTGATATTTCTATTAAAAAAAGAAAAAAGGGGGAGGCGAAAATTATAATTTTTGCTCATTTTTTTTATATTACTGATATTTGAATGCAATTAATGCACTTACTGACTTGGTGTGATATAGAAAATGATACTTGATATTTGATCTTTTATTATAAGGGCTCACACACCTTAATATTGTTCTTGCATCCCAAATAACTAAAGGGGAAATTTTATATTATCTTCGATAATTTTAGTACTTACTTATAGATTGTAATGGCTGAACTTTCTAGAGTTAAAAAATTGAATGGAAACAATTTTGGTCTGTGGAAGAGAAAGATGGAATATCTCCTCATCCAAGATAGAATAGTATATGTATTATTAAGAGAAAATCCACTAGTGGTTGGTGATAAACCAAATGAAAAAGAAAAGAAAAAGTTAAAATTTTTTTTAGAAGATGACCTCATAGCAAAAACTTCTATGTTAACTTTTATGCAAGATGTCTTAAAAAGTTTTCAAGCATCATGAAACATCAAAGAACATGTTGGAGGCAATAAAAACTAAATATGACTCAACCTCTGAAACACACATCCAATTGTATCAGAGCAATATAACTCATTTAAGATGAAGGAGGATAATAATGTAGTCGAACATGTAAACAAAATGCTTGTTATGACTAAGGATTTAACAATTGATGGGAATGAACTCCCTGAGTGCATATAAGTTTCCACAATCTTAAATAGCCTCCCATCTTCATGGAGGATGGTAATAATTGCACTTAGGTTGAATGTCAAATCTCTTACATTAGGGGACCTACTTATGCAACTAGCCTTAAAACAAGAACATATGAAATGAGTGATTTCATGTTTGCTCAAGGACCTTCCAAAACTAGCCAACCCAAGCCTAAATTTCAAGCAAAGTTTAATAAGATGAACAATAGGTTAAAAAATAGAGGAACTAAGCGCTACAACCAACTAGGACCACCAAAATGCTTTTTATGTGGTCAGCCAGGTCACTTCAAGAACCGTTGCCCAGAAAATAGAAACCTGCAAAATCCAAAGAATAACAGAAATGGAAGCAAGATGCGTGAAGTTGTTTGTGTGGTTTCTAAGTACCTGATGGCAGACCACGACATCAAAGGATGGTGGGTAGACTCAGGTGTTAATCGGCATATCGCAAGCTCAAAAGACCTCTCTGAGGACTTCAAAGAAATAAAAGCTGGGGAGAAACACATTTACATGGGGAACAACACCTATTCTGATATATTAGGTGTAGGAACTTGCAGGTTGTATGTAGGGACAAACGACCTTATATTAATTGATATTTATTTTGTCGCTTGTATAAGATGAAATATTGTATCTGTCCCCTTGCTTATTAGAAAGGGTTTTAAAGTCCGCTTCTGATCATTGAAAGTATCAATCGGAAAGTGTGGACAAATTTATGCTTGGAGGCACTTGGTTGATGACCACAACCTAATAATAAAATTACAACTTATTCTGGTTATGTTGATTGTGTAATGGTTGTTGATGCATATACTTGGCATATTAGGCTTGGTCATATAGAAAAAGACAAAATAAATAGATTAATAAAGAGATGTCTTATTTCAAATCTAAATAATGTCGAATTTCCAACTTGTCAATACTTCTTATCTGAAAAAATGACTAGAAAATCATTCA